AAACTCTTCCTGCCTAATTATTGGCCATACAGCTTTTTATCCATCAATCACAGCAATGGATCTTCTCACAGTGTACAAATACCCTGCAACAACTAGTGACACATAATTTTTTTGTTTAGGTGGTCAAGGAGTAGAAGGCTGGGAAAATACAACCATGTATCCTACATAAATGACAATTGTCACCTATTTTTTGAAAAAAATTAGAAAATAGCATCTGCTATGCATTTTAACTATTCATTTAGAAAATAAAATTGTGCTACTTAATGAGAAGTTTAATTTGCCTTTTTTTCTTCTTCTGTTAGATTCTTCCTAGAAGTCCTTTAAGGGTGAAAGATGTAGACAGTTTGGGAGAGAAGAGATGGTGCCACAGAGGCTAAGGTTCAAACTCTTATTCTTATTTTCCAGCTAGTGGCACTATCTGGAGACTCTGGGGACAACTTCAGAAGTTGCCTGTACCTGGCAGAAGCGGTGGAGGTGGACTTTATAAGGTTGGAGCTGCCCCTCCCCTCTTTCTGGTTACTCTCTGCTTTTTGTCCACCATGATGTGAACAGCGGCCACAGCTCTCCCACTGCCCTGAACGTGCTGTTCTGACACCATGCGTTAAAAGAAATCCTTCCTCCCTTTGGCTGTTTCTGTCAGGCATTTTGTCACAGTGCTGCAGATGTAACTGATGCAGTTAGGGTGGAAAGGATGTGCTCGATGAAGAAATCTGAGAGTTTTCACAGATCGAAGGTCTCCCACCAGCCTCCAGCCAGCTCCTCATCCATGTGTTCAGATTGTATGTCAAAAGGACATTCATTCCCCCAAAATAACATGAGGTAGGCCACCTCAGCTAACACTACTGTCCTTGGGAGCCCAGTTGATGAACAAGATAGACAACGTAAGACTCCTGGATCAGAGATTCAGGACAGGTCATCACCGACAGTAACAGCAGTGGCCATCACACCAGTACCTAGCAGCTCCCTGTGTGAGTTAGTTTTCTCATCACCATGACAACGTACCTGAGCAAACAGCCCAAGGGAGGAAAGAGCTCTTTCTAGCTTGTAGTTTCAGAAATTTCATTCCGTCATGGCAGGGAGGGCATAGTGGAACAGAGTCATCTACACTGTAGTGGTTCAGAAGCAAAGAGAAAAGAATGAGCCAGAACACAATATAGACCCCAAGCACGGCTCAGAAACAAAAAGAAAGGAATGGATCTACTTCCTCTCACTGAGCCTCATCTCCAGTATTACTCAATCTTTAGTGTCTGTGTGTGTGTGTGTGTGTGTGTGTGTATGAGAGAGAGAAAGAGAAAGAGAGAGAGAGAGAAAGAGAGGAGAGAGAAAGAGAGAGAGAGAGAGAGAGCTGTGTGTGGATGTCCATGTTTGGGAAGTCAGAAGAGGGTATTAGATGCCCTGGAACTAGAGTTACAGGTACGTGTAAGCCTTCCAATCCAGGTACTAGGAACTGAACTCAGGATTTCTGGAAGAACAGCAAACACGCTTAGCTGCCCAGTTGTACTATCTTTAAACTATGGCATCACATATAAATCAAAGGGTGGATACATTCATTAGGTCAAGAACCCCTCCCCCATCTATTATCTCTGGAAGCATCATTGCCAGCATAGAGGTGCCTTGACAATCTCCTAAGTGTGCCTCAGTCTAATCAATGGGATGGTTAAGACTAACCACAGCTCTCTGTTCCCATCTCTACAAGGGGTGGGTAAGAGTGACCCTTTCTCCTACCGGGGGTTGTGACAGAAGCAGAATCTGAACTCGGGGAATCTGGAGCTTTCACAGCAGAATTTCACAGGGAAATTCTGACCTTTGCTCTGCAGCGAAGTCCACCTTGGGCTCCCAGGCTGCTGGAAAAACTCTAGGGCAGTGGTTCTCAACCTGTCCAATGCTGGCACCCTATAATATAGTTCCTCATGCTGTGGTGACCTCCAACCATGAAAGTATTTTTTTTTTGCTATTTCATAACTGTAATTTTGCTACTATTGTGAACTGTCACGTAAATGTGTTTTCTGATGGTCTTAGGTGACCGCTGTGAAAAGGTCATTTGATTCCAAAAGTGTTGTGACCCACAGGTTACATTCTGTTCAAGTAAGCTGGTCATTATCCTCTTGCACAAGATACACAGACACTAGACACCTCAAAGAGCCAGCCCTCATTGGGGCTCTGTGCCAACACAATCCTGATGATTACGTTTTAACTCTTGAATTGGCTTCTCAGAGTGCAGAACACAGAATAAAGTAGTGTAAGACATTCTTCTGTTGTTCAATTTTATTTTAGATTATGAAGCATCCAGGGCCAATCTTTGACTTCCCTTTATCCTCACCACAGCAGCCTCAGGTGAGACTTGTCCTTTGCCCTTTCTACAGCTTCCTCGAGTGACCCTTGCCTGGTTTGCTCCTTGAGCCCAGCCTCATACACCTGCCTTTCCCCGCTCAGCATCCCTCAAAGCTCAGCTGCTCTGAACTTCATTCTCTTTTGACTCTATCCTAACCTTACTACATCCTTATTCATGGTTACCACACTTATTGCTCTGTTCTCAGAGAAGTTATTGATATTAACTCAGTTGGTGTTTGTGACAACCCTAGAAGGCAGTACTGTTACTCCAATTCTTCAGAGGAAGATTTTTGTAGATACTTTATTAACATCTTTAAAGTCTACTGTTAATATTATTGTGTGTGTGCATGATATGTGGGAGGGGTTGCCTACATCATGATATGCATGTTGAGGTCAGAGGATGATGCTATAGGGTTGGTTCCTTCAGCCTTTATGTGGGCTCAGGGAGGGAACTCAGGTTGCTAGGTTGCACAGCTAATGCCTTTACCTGGGAAGCCATCTTGCCAGCCTTGGTTTCATGGAACTGACTCTAGAAGAAGTGTTTCAAGGTTGTAGAGGAGATCAGGGCCTGAGTCTCACTACTGCGGTGGCCCACCAGTGGTCATCATCTCAGCACAATGAACACACCATCCTCTCCAGACAATCTCCCAGATTTCGCATGTATGGTTAGAGTGCAGGGAATTTCAATACCTTGGCTCAGATTCACTCTGAGTGACTGACTAGTTCTTATCTCTGTGTACTCACCACTGTCTATAGCCCCATGTCCAGCATCTCCAGAGGGACAAAAGTGTGTTGCTGACTGGCTACAGAGGACTGAATGGATGGATCGGGGAACCTAGAAGTGTTAAGGATCACTTAAATAGTCCAGTGTTCCTGTACCACAAACAACAGATGTATCTGGGTCTTAAGTTCTAGGATGAATCTATGTTTTAGCAGGCCAAAGGAAGAACATGAACCTGGACATTCAACCCAATAGAAGAAAATAGAATTGGATAGGTTTGGGGAAAGAACAGACTTGGAGGAGAAAGGGGGTGTGGTATTAAAACAACTCACAAGAAGCTCCCTGTCCTCAGAAGTAAACTGAACACACAGTTAAAGGTGATAAAGCAGATGGAAAGGCCAGATGCCTGACCCAGTTCCAGGAAGTGATGCAAGGAGGAAGTGGGCAGCAGGCAGAAGTGGTGATGGTCATGACATCCTCCACATATGGACAACACTGTTCCTGGACATATTCGCTCTGATTTTTTTTTTCTTTATAGTACAACTCTGTGAATTGGATTTCAGATGATTACATCATCAGTTTACAGATGATAAAGCCAAGTAATGGAGCTTTTAAGTAACTTCTCCAAGGCCATACATCTTGGAAGAGGCAAAGCTGAGGTCTGAACCTAGACAGCTTGTTCTGTCTCTACCATCCACAGTTCCATGTATCGCCTCCCTACAGTTTTGATTGCCTCAAGGCAGTGGCCCTGACAAATAAATCAACAATCTAGGCTTGTTCTGGTTTTGTCATGAGAAAACAATTACTCCCACTCCTCACAGACTTCATTCCCTCTGAAGTCGCCCAGAGTAGAAATTCTGGAGCCATTCCTCCCCATCTTGCTAAGTGCTGGCTGAGAATAGACAGAACCCTTAGGGAGAGAAAACAATTCAGCTGTCCAAAAACTAAACAAAGGGGGGGGGAATGAAGGTAGTATGCTAAAATGATTAAAAAGCATTACTACAAATACAACGTGTGAAGCTTGCTCATACTAAAAAACAAACAAGAGAATGTCTATAGAAGAAATAACAGGGGCTGGGGAAATGGGTCAAGCATGAGCTCCCATGTTTGGATTCCCAGGACCATGTAACTGGACATGGTAGCTCACCTATTATCTCAGACTTCCTAAGACAAGATGGGAGATGGAGACAGGAGTAGCCTGGATCTTGTGGCCAGCTAGCTATATATGCATCAAGGAACAGGAGACTCTGTCTAAAAGATGTAGAAACTGGGGACAAACATGCATGCACACGTGGTAGAAAAATGTTAACAATTATTGAGTCTGACAGATGTGCACCAATACATCCTTTCAGGTTTTCTGATGTAGCTTTTAAGAGTTTGGGGAGAAAGAACCTAGAGTGGAGAAAAACAATGATTACTTACAGACTGTCCAGAGAAGGTCGGGAACCTCTCCAATGCAAAGCCCTGTGGGGATGACTTAAGAAGCCCAGTCGTGACCACACGGGGTTGGATGCAAATAGTTTCTCGATAAAACAGAAATACAGAACTGGAGGGAAGATGGGACGGGAGACTTGGCAGCCATTCCGACAGAGACAGAAGTGACAGCTGTAGAGGTAATAAAATGCCTGGAATCATCTGTAGAGTCTAGAAGTCCAGACTTGAGATCTTGGAACAAGTGTGGTCCTGTGATTTCTCTAGAAACAGCTGGGACCAATCTGCTACATTTGGAACCCTTGCTCCACTGCTCACAAGCCATCGGACCTCAGACAAGTTTCTTCACCTTTCTGACACTGTTTCCTCTACTAACTACTCGTGGAATCTCCATGGAGACTAAGGAGGTCAGCATATGTGTGGTGTTCAATGCAAGGGAGGGCCTACAGTAAACAGTCAGCAAAAGTTGCTATCACTTTCATCTCTCAGAGAGAAGGAAGGATAGGGGCAAAAGGGGACTTGTCTGCCACCCACTATAACAGTGAAAACATCATAGCCCACATCTCCGGTAACTTTGTTTACAATTACATGTAGGTTCAGGGTTACTTAATTTCTTTCTTTTAAGTAAAATTGTGTGGCCCCGGGTTAGTGGAGATGTTAATGAAGTTAAATAGTGAAGGCGATTATGTGGCAACATGGAAAATAAACAGTGAGCTCTCTGCCTCAGCATTAGGCTCCCGTGATGCTTCATCTTTGCCTGGGTAATTATCTCTCAACAGCAGACTCTTACCCAGCAGCAAGGGATAATTCCATTAACATTCCCACCTAAACACAGTTTTCCGGGCTGCTTGGGGTCCCCAGGCCACTGGCTACATTACAGGGGCCTCTTATCATCCTGGAATTAAAACAAGAAAGTAAAAATTATTCAGTCACATTAATTCTTTTTCCCTGAGCAAACCTCTGCACAATCTTGACTCATTGCTCCAAATCATATTGCTGCCAAGAATATTATCTGTAGCAATCCAGTGCTCAATTCATTATGGGCTGGAGGGCCAGAACATACTCACCCGTGAGCTTGGTTGCAACTGTCTGAGAATAAGAAATAGTCGTGGGGTGTGATGTGGCCTCTTGAAGGAGGAAGGAAGAGCTATATTTTTTGGAAAATGTGAAATGCCACAGTTGTGTTCTGGTAATGGAATCCAGACCATGTGTACATTCAGTAGACTGGAGAGCAGCATAGAGGCTTACAAACAGAGTGAAGTCAGGACATTGTCCTACTGAAACGTGACTTGAATAAGCACTGTCCCAACTCAGGCTTGGTTTCCAGGCAGGCCTGTCATGGGGTCTGGGGCTGCTGAGTCCTGTAGAGAGTGAGAATCATTAGCAGTACTACCACAGGTGCCAGGAGCCTAGGGCTCCCCAGCACCTTCCCAGGCAGTGCTCAGTTAGTGAGTACAGCACCTCTCCTCCCCCACTCCCAAGCATACACCCGCCTCCACATCACAGATGAGAACCCTTAAGCCCACAGAGTGAAGAACACCTGACATCCCACATCAAATATGGTGGAGAGAGAACTTATGTGTGTCTGGGAGCGGGGGTGGGGGGGTGGGGGGGTGGCTGCTTTGAGAAAAGGGAAACTTTGTGAATAGAACCAGCTCCAGTGTTTCCATCGGTAAATGACCTATCTCCCAGAAATGATGGGAAGTCAGGAAGTCTGGAGAACATGGTTTTGTTTTTTTTGTTTTTTTTCCTCCAGAACTGACCCCAAGATGACCTTTGTTTTCCTCCCCACTGTCTGTTAACTCCTCAAGTCTGGATTCTGACGGAAGTGTGAACAGAATGAATGAGTGAGTGAATGAATGAGGTAAGATGATGGCTACACCTCTCACGATGCTAATGCACAGTAGGCCCTCAAAAAGGGTTTCTTAGAATTTGAAAACAATAGTTACTTACCAGCTCTGACAGCAGATTGATCCAGGAAGGGTCAGAAAGTTGACTTGAATTAGGTGTGAAGGTTGGTTGGAATTCAATTACCCATGGCCCTCCAGTCTTTCGTGCCAGCCATGATTTATGGAGGCTGACTAACGAAGGCTGGGACTTGTAGCATTGCAATCAGCCTCCCTTTGGAGGAAGAAGGCACTGGAATTATCTAAGGAGCAGTCTCAGGCCAGATGGCATTTCTTAGGTTGGAAATAGCCTTGTGACTTAGCCACATAGCAGCCAGGCTTAGACTTAGACACAAATAACATACACAGTCAAGGCTCAGGAGTCCTCACTCCTATTTTTCTTCACAGTCACCCTGACCTAGTAGCCCTGCCTGACACAGATAAATGATCTTGGGCTGTGTGTGATTAGGGCCCTGGCTCATGGATATTTGGGGGCATCCACTAGCTGAAAGGGTCCATGGAAAGACAAACTTGCATCAGTTAAAGTAGGAAATGGATTCACCTCATCAGCTCCACTTCTTTGTCTCTCCAACACAGATTTCCCTTCTCAGCCTCACCTTAAATCTTGTCTAACCTTGTTCCAGCCATGCTTGAATGCCTTAAGTACAAGACCTAGCTACATCCCACCCTGCCCCCCCCCAATATTCTTGGGATGGGGAGGATGCTGGGGAGATGGTTGAGTAGGTAAATTCCTGGGATTTAGTTGAGATGCTCAGCACCCAAGCAAAAGCTTAGTATGTCTGCATACATCTATAATCTCAGCTCTGTTGAAACAGACACACAGAGATTGGTGGATTCTGGGGCTTGCTGGCCTGCCAGCTTAGTGAAATCAGTTAGTTCCAGGGTCAGCATAAGATCCTGTCTCAAAAGTTAACTTAGAAAGCAATTAAGTGAGGTCTCTGATGTCAACCTGTGGCCTCCACACACTCTAGAATGAGCGCGCATGCCACCATACACACACACACACACACACACACACACACACTCTCTCTCTTTGGGACTTAGTATCTGAGAACACATTTTGAACCAGGATGTTTACAGCAGTTGCACAGCTATAATCCCAGCACTTGTGAGGCTGAGGCAGGAGGATCTCAAGTTCAAAGCCAGTTGGTTACAACAGGGAGAATCTGTCTAAAAACAAAACAACAGCGACAACAACAAACCCCCCACAAAGTTATTCTTTCATTTGATTGTTGCTGCCACTGCTGTTTGCATACACTAATAATCCATCTTCAGTATTTTCTAACCCCCTTGCCCAGCGGTAGTACTGTCCAGTGGGTGAGGCCAGAGCAGCCAAGGCATGTAGCCATCTGGACCCTGATCTCTGCTACCCTTGCATTCAGAGCTCCAAGCAGTCTGTAGCAGATCCTAATTTGCAAGGTTGGCTTATGAAGAGAGGGTAAGGAGTTCAGTAGCCGCCCTTTGCCCCCTCCTCAACCACATTGTTGAATGAATATAGCTGAAAAACAGCCCAGTGTTGGGAGAGTCATAGCATCCATGTGTCTTTGTAATGTACCTGTCTCTACACAATAGCCCACTTCCTCCTAATAAAAAAGTAATATACATGCAACTTGACATGCGGACCTTCAAGCTTACAGAATGAGCTCGAACTTGAAAGGGATCCAGCATATAACAGCATGTATTATTTTTAGAGCATTACCTAGTCATTTTGATTAATTCTCTTAGAGTACTTTCCCCTGAAGCTCCCTGGGGAGAGGAGGGTGTGTTGCAGTGGGGGTAGGGGGTGGGGGGCCGATGTGAGAGACTAAAAGGACTGTAAAAATATGAATTTAACCTCGATGATGAGTTGACATGTTTAGAACTGTAACATGGCAAATCATTGTGAAATCTTCTAATGGGTGCCCGTCCCCTGACTAACAAGTCCAGCATCCAAAGCACACAAAGAAATCATTGAAAGACATTGGCCTGTGTCCAAAAGGCCCAGGCTAATGTTTCACCTAATCTCTCTCCTGGTCTCTCCTGCCTACTGCCGGCCCCACCCACAGGATCCGCACTGGAGAGCTCGCTAGCAGCTGCTCCTCGGGCATTTACACCCTCTCACCCCCTGGCAGTAGGAGGAAAACCATTATGAAGCCAACAGTATATAAAAGGGGAAAGATGAGTGGCTGGAGGGGGTAGGTGGGAGCTGATGGAGATAAACGCCTGTCTTCTCATAGCCTTGCTATGCTTGGGGCGGGGCTCGGGAGGAGGCCCAACCCGGGCCAGAGGTGACCCTGGTTCATATCCCCTCCCTCCAAGGGCACTGCAACTTGGGGTAGAAGAGCCTATGAACTGGGAACAAAATTTTTTTGTTGCTGTTGTTTTGCTTTTTAAAAGTTCAGTTTGTTTTTAATTCTTTTTATCTTGGCTCTATCTCAAGTCCACAGACTCCAGAACTTCACAGGCACAGGGTGGGGTAGGGTGGGGCTGAGTGATTTCTTTCTTTTTTCTTAAAGGGATAGAACCAGGATGCTTCCTTGAATGCCTGTCTGTGGTTTGCTCAAATTCGATCACAGTCATTCGTAAAGGCGCTGAGCAGGCAAGAGTTCTTTCTCTTTGAAAGTGGCATTCACAGAGGTAGCATCGACAGATCGAAGGGTGGAAAGGAATTTTTCGGCGACTCAGGGAGGAATTTGGACCTGTAAGATATTTCTGACGTTAATTATTGATCATTTCAGCTGTCCAGAGTTGGCCTTGAGCTTCTAGACTTGCTAAGCTGAATAAAAAGAAACAGATCCTTTTAAAAACTGGGCATTAGATGCATGTGTGAACTTTTTAGGAGCTATCAAAACATGCCTGGAAAGCCTCATACTTAGCATAGGTGCTGCCCAGGGTTGGGAGTCACACATGCCCAGTTGGGATCTCAGCTCCACAAGCTTGTGACTGTGGTCAATATCTGCATCTCCCCTGGCCTCAGTTTCCCCATCTCTAACGAGGGCAGTGATTCCATCTGTCTAAGAGATCCTTTGGATGCACTAGCTCAGGGGTGCTTATGGCTTCCCATGTAGCCCCTTTCCTACAACAGAGGACAGGAGCTTTGCCAACAGGGAACAAAAGAAAAGCTCAGCCCTTCCTTGCAGCTTTGTGTGGAGTGAGAGGTAGCTCCAGACACACAGGGCCCAGACAGCTTATGGCTCTTTCTCGTCTCTCGTGTTTATATATATTTTTTAAACAAATATTTCTGTAGCACTCACTATGTGATAAGCACTTGACAAACACTGACTCATCCCATCTTTCACCAGGAGCCGATGAAATGTTCAAGCTTGGGATTCTCATTTTGCAGTGGAAGAAACAAAAACAGCTATAGTCCAGGGACATGTACATAACAGGGCCTGACCAGTCAAGATTTGAACCCAGGCAACCTAAGCCCTTGCCTTTGTGGGGATTGTGGGCAAGCGTTTATTTGGGAAAGCTAACTGAGACCAAAGCTATCTGGGTGAAATACCCAGGCTAGCTCTGCACAGTCTAGAAAATAATAGTATTGAAATTGCAAAAGTCTCCACTGATAAACTTTCAGAGCCGAAACCTCGAGAGACCAGATGAGGTCAACCGAACAAACAAGCTGATTCCAGGTCCTGTGGCTTGCTGCCCATCTCTCTCCACTCCCACCCTGGAGAAGGCTGCAGCCTCCTCTCAGGTTTCCCCCTCACCCCCTTGGCTCTGTGAGTGTGAATCTGCTGATGGTTGCAGCTTGAGTAGGTGGAATGTGGTGGGAAGGAAAAAGCATTGGAGAAGTCAAGAATAAAGGAAACAACTGGTTTTTCAGTTTCAGTAATTATAAAATCAGTAGTGGTCCATGGCAGACATTGCAATCCTGTTTCCTAGACTCTGTCTCCCACCCTCTTTCCAGCTAGATATGGTCACAGGACTCAAATCAGGCCATTCAGGTTAAGTCTTCCTTAAGTCCTTTTGTCCCCCACTCCCTTGGGCAGTCCTCCTGTCCATGTCTCTCTTTGAATGAATATGTAGCAATTGGTTGTGTAGGGATTAAAGACATATGTGATAACTGGGGTATGGAGGTACAATGCAAATATGACTGAGATCAAATGCATTATGAGAACCGGGGTGCAGGACCTGACATATTTAGGCTGTGAAGGGAAAGCCAGGAACATCTCAGACATCAGTTCTGCATTGTTGAGCTTTTATACCACCAAAGTTCAGAGTTTTGCTGTTTTCATCCAAGGATGATGCTATCTACAATATCATTATAGAAAAGTTACAAAGATACAGGAAAAATTCTGTACCTATTACACAGAAATAACCAAACTTGTTATTTCAACATATATTCTTTCTCTTTTATTGTTTTTTTTTCCAAAAATACAGAATAGAAACTCCATTTGCAAGTGATTCTTCCTGGTATGCTGTGGTCACCTTTCTACCTTAGTTATGTCCATCTTTATCACATGGGTTTCCAAGAGTAGTTTAATCCCAGATTGCCAAATAGCTGTTGCTTTCAGTTTTTTACAATTGTTAACAATAATTGTTTGCACATGTTTGTAAATTCATCTTTGTCTGATTATTTCCTTTAGATTGCTAAAATTGTTGGACTAAAAACAATGCGTGTGTGTGTGTGTGTGTGTGTGTGTGTGTGTGTTGTGGATGACGATGTACATACACTCAGAGGCTAGAACAGGGCATCAGGTGTCTTCATCTACCATTCTCTTTCTTATTGCTTTCAGATAGGGTCTCTCACTGGACCAGAAGCTCACTGTTTTAGCTAGATGTGACTTGCCAGTGAGCTCTGGGGACCTGCCTGTCTCTGCCTTCCAATGCTGCAGTTACAGGCATGCCCAGCTACACACTGTTGATGGAGTTTCTGTTCCACCTGGTCCTGCCACCCTTCAGGCCCCAATAAATACACACTTTTATTAATTAGAAAACTGTTTGGCCGATGGCTTAGGCTCCTTACTGGCTAGCTCTCTCTTAATTATTAATCCATAACTACTAATCTATGTATTTCTGCTTGGCCTTATTTTACCAAAGAAGGCTCCAGCATGTTATTCCTTCAGCGACTACATGGCGTCTCTCCCTGGTGGCTTCTCTCCCTCTCTCTCTCCTCTCCCCAGAATTCTTCTTGTCTCCAAGCCTATACTTTCTGCCATACACACATATGTATGGACTCTTTTCTGGAAATTATACTCATTCTTTCTTCCATTGGCAACTCTCAGCACTCAAATTACTGGTCAGGGAACAACAACAAAATACAAAAACAAAGGTGAGAAAATCTCATTTTCTTACTTGGACACACATCTGGGTGCATCTTTCTTGCCTTGAGGTGTAGTTGTGCATCTGTGGTCCAGCTGGTGAAATGTGAGCAAAAGTGATGGAGGCCTGGCCCTGAAAACCCTGGCATGTCTGTGGCCATAACGTGCCATTGACCAGTTGCATGCCAGGGGTACAACCAGAAAGTACGTGGTTTTGAGTAGGGCAAAAACCCTGCTTGTCTGTGTGGAAGTAGACCCCCCCTCCACTTCCAGCCCCTCCTAAACGTGGATGTTTATGGGGATGGGAGATAGCAGTTGACATGGTTAATCTACCCATAGATTAAAGCTCTGGAGTAGCAGATAGGGTTATCCTCGTTAATGGGAAAAACAAACACAAGGAGGCAACTCTCAAGGACCAGACCAAGACTATGGAAACAAACTAAGGCACAAGGTCTCACCTGAAAGAGCCTTTCAGCTCTAAGGCCACCTTCCTTTTCCAATTAGAAACTACTATTGGCATTTTATATATCAGTATACATCAATTACATTCTACCATGAATCTTCAACAATTTTTTAAATGAGTAAAAATTCCAGAAGAAAGAGGCTCGGTACAGTGTGTCATCAGTTGGATGAGTTTGGTTCCTACCTTACTTAACCTGTCCTTAGGATAGGAACTATGGCATCAGTCGGTCTGGTTCCCATCTAGCCCCATACTTATGAAACAGTGAAGCTTGGCCAAGTGGTTGACCTTCTAGAAGCTATGTGTACAGAGGGCTGGAAACCATGCTGGATATACAGCAGTGCTCTAGAAGAGGACAGTGAGAGGAGAGTTTCTCCATTTCCCTTCAAACAAGACTCTGTGGCTCCTTCTGGTTCCTTTGTCCCCCAGAGGAAGACAGGGGGCAGCTATTTGGAGGGATGAGGTAAAGGTAAGGATAAGGACTTGGACTAGGGCCAGCTTTTGTCTCATTCCCTCCTCTTCTGAGGTTGACAGAGACCCCTCTTTTCCTCAGTGACAATCTTGCAGACCACTGTTGTCTCCTACAGTGCAGCTATTGTCCCAGGGGCAATCCTTTCTATAAAACTATAATAGTGTGTGCACATAACCTACATGGTCTGTTTATATTAACTAATCTTTACATTGTTCATAGTACCCAATGCTGTGTAATTGTTACATGTTTTAGGGAATGATGGCAAGAGTACATATTCAGCATAAACACATGTTTTTAAAAAGAAAACCCTTCCAGTCTTTGGTTATTTTGAAGGCCAACTGTACAGGACAGAACATGGAAACTGAACTCTGGACCAGAGTACTTAGATGAATCTGGCTACCTGCCTCCCTACAAAACACCAGAGACAAACCCCAGCCCATGTGGCTGCCAGAAATGTTGGTTCTTGTTAATGTTATTCCTTATATGCCTGTCACCACAGAAAGACACTGGAAGAAATAATTGTCTTCCCTCTACCACGGAAGCCAATACCAGTGTCTCCTACAAAGACAACTGGCCTAAGCCCTGCTCTATCATTGAGGTTGGATGACACTCATTTCAAAAAGGAAGGAGGGAGGGAGGGAGAATTGAGGAACTGGAGAGATGGTTCAGTGCTTAAGAACACTTGCTGCTCTTGCAGAGGATCCAGGTTCAGTTCCCAGCACCCACATGGTATTTAACAACCATCGGTACCTCCAGTTCCAGGAGATCCAATGCCTTCTTCTGGCCTCCTCATACATCCATGCAGGCAAATAGCCATACACACAAAAATAAAATAAACAAATCTATTCTTTTAAAGAAGAAAATAAGTTCAATATCTTGTGTCTTTCTTCAAACCAAGTGTTTGTCCCAGAACCCAAGACCCCTGCTGCCCCTGCTGTCATTCAGAGCTGGGACTCTGTTGGGTTGCTGGAGAAAGTTCCTTAAACTCAGCAAGTTTCAGTTTTCTCTTCCACTAGGGGCAACGTGTTAAGGAAAACTGCTAGAAAGCTTCACCTCCTTTGGACAAGCAAATGCCATGAACATTAGCAGCCATGATACTTATACATGGCCTCCTGTCTGCTTTGCTGTCTATGATTTCTATGACTAATGGTCAACTGTGGAGTGAAAGAAGAAAATTTTAAATCCAGAAATAAGCAATTCATTGGGTTGTAAATCTTGTATGGTTCTGAATAGTGGGATGGAATTGTGCTTAGTCTTACTCCATCTCACTTGGGACATAGATATCCCTTTTATCCAGTGTTTCCACACCGTATACATTGCCTTCCTGTTTAGTATCTGTTCTTGTTTTCAATAGACCTCTGTGTTATCACAGTGCTTATATGTTCAAATGACCCTTTAAACTTTATGTTTTATGTGTTTTAGTCTTTTGCCTACATGATGTTTGTTCAAGAGCAGGCCTCAGAGGCCAGAAGAGGGCATTGAATCTCCTGGAATTGGAGTCACAGATGGTTATGAGCTGTTATGCGGGTGCTGGGAATTAAACCCAGGTCCCATGAAAGAGCAGCAGTGCACTTAACCACTGAGCCACCTCTCGAGTCCTCAAATGGCCAGTTTTGAGAAACAGAGACTACGTTCTTTTACTGTGTGATCCATCCATTCATTTCCTGTTTTTGAGTCAGGATCTCGTGTAAAGCAGGCTAGCCTTGAACTTACTGTGAAGCCCAGGATAACCTTGAACTTCTGATCTTTTTGCTTTCATCTTCCTGGTGCTGCAACTGCAGGCTTGTGACATCATGGTAGGCTTCCGCAATACTGGATGGAACCTAGGGTATGATGCATGTAAAGCAAGGACTCTACAAACTAAGCTGTATGCCCAACCTGTGCCTTTTTTATGAGGTAAATTTTATTCTCATTATATATGCACTGAAGAAAACAGCATGTATAGAGTTGGGTACATGCACACAATTTAGGAAGTTCGTGGACCATGTTAAACTTTTCTTAATTAGACCTAAGTCCCTCCTAACTCCCTAAAAGTATTTTACTCCAAATCCAGTCCTGTAGGTTTTGCTACGTGGGTGGGCTCCTCAGGGAGGTTGCTGGAAAGGGGTGGGATTTGAGAGGTTAGCATCTGAGCAGGAAATAGAGGCAGGAGTCTCCTGAGAGGGCGGGTCAGTTCAAGGACCCAGCAATCAGGCAGAAGAACTGTGGTCCTAACTTGGATTTCCCCCTCTGGAAATAGAGCCGTCAAAACACTTTCCAAGAGCTCTGCAGAAAATGTGAAGTTCATTGTTGCACTCCCAGCTGCAAACCCATTAGAACAGCCCCGGGGGCAGGGAGCAGAACCTTCATGCTGAACCCCCTCCCCCACCCCCAACTGCCCTTGTACCATCCCAGATCCAGCAAGTCGCTTCACCTCTCCCTGCCCTCGCCTGTAAAATGCAGATAACAGGCTAACCTCACAGGGCTGGTATGAGGAATCACTAATAAAATGTGATAGTGACACACCCAATTTAAATGCAAACGGCTGTAAAACAACCAAAAGCATATTTAAACATTTCCACTGCTGGTTGGGGTGGGGTGGGGGGGACAGCGGCATTAGGACTTTGAGAACAGAGCATTTCTTTTCCTCTGGTGCACATGTCAGTTATGCATCTGTGCTGAAGTAGGTTCTGGGAAGAAGGGGGGATTCTTCTGGATCTCCTAAAAATTGGAAGGAAGCCATTCCAAAACGCATAAAAACCATTGGGGAAGATTTTACATCACCAACCTCTTTATATATTATTTACGGAACTCTGTCTTCAATGGAGAATGCTGGGAGGGAGCGTCAGGAAACTGGTGAGAAGCATCACTACACCAGAAGGGCTGAAGAGCTCATCTCGTCTCAGGCACTATTCAGCTTTCTTTCCTGTGTGTTTCTTTTCTATCTCCTTTTGACTCTCTAACTTTTTTCTAGGTTCATCTATGTTGTCCCAAATGGAAAGGTTCCTGGATTTCCTTCTTCTTAAATGTTAGATTAGTATTCTATCACACCCACATGAATACGTACAAGCATCTACACACACACACATGAACACATACAAACACACACACACACACACACACACACACACACATCCTTTATCCATTAATCACAAAACAGACATGAGGTGGTTCAAATATCTTAGCAACTGTAAACAAGGCCTCACTGAGCAAAGCAGTGCAGATGTGTGTGTGTGTGTGTGTGTGAGACATTAATGTCCAAACAAGGCCTCACTGAGCAAAGCAGTGCAGATGTGTGTGTGTGTGTGTGAGACATTAATGTCCTGTCCTTTAGACATATGTGTCCTTTAGACACATGCCCAGAAGTAGATTGCAGCACCTTATCTTGGTTCTGTTTTTAATTTTATGAGGAATTCTTGTATTGTTTTCCATGGTGGCTATAGCAATGTATATTCTCACCAATATTATCCAAAGACCCCCTGTACATACTTGCCAACATTTGTTGCCTTAAAAAAAAAATCCTAATGGGAGTGAGGTAGCATCCTGTTTGTGGCATTTAATGTGTCTGCTCGTTGGTGCCTGGGATCTTTGATGTGGTATTTCTTTTGGGGGTGGGGGGAGTTCGAGGCAGGATTTCTCTGTGGCTTTGGAGGCTGTCCTGGAACTAGCGCTTGTAGACCAGGCTGGTCTTGAACTCACAGAGATCCGCCGGCCTCTGCCTCCCGAGTGCTGGGACTAAAGGGATGTGGTATGTTTTTT